AAAGTATAATAAATTTAGATTAAATAGAATTCATGCTAATTGCCAAAAAGGTGAAACTCCCGAAATAATTATATAAAACTTTAAACTCACTGTAAGTTCGTTTTTAAGAAGGGAGGAGTTATAAACCCTGTAACTAATTGGTCAGCGAAGTAAATGCTTAGTTGCACCAATTCAGCAGTTTTAGTTTATAAGTACCAATTGTAATCTTAGCATAAGTTCAGTTATAAGTTATCAGTTGTCACAAGTACACTATTGCTGTAACTCGTCGTTCTGAAAATAAATCTTTTTTAAAAGGCTTTCTTGGTCGAAAGCCAAACTGCTCGTCCGGGATTAAACTTCGAAGCTCGGTTGCTGCCTGTAGTCTCGATAGGATAACCTTCTCGGTTAATTTTCCGAGGGAGTTTAGGAGGGAAATTGGCCTATAAAAGGCGGGATTAGTCGGGTTTTTGCCCGGTTTTAAGATAGGAATTATTATAGCGATTTTCCAGTCGTGTGGGAAGTGCTGCAATTTAAGGACTGCTTTGACTATTTGTACTAATAGCACAATACTTTTGCGCGGTAAGTTTTTGAGGAGTAAATAAGGGATGCCGTCTGGCCCGGGGGATTTTCGGCTAGGGAGTCGCCGAAGACACGATTGTATCTCCGACGGGGTTGTTATATAGGAATACAAAATCGAGGGTGGTATAGGATACTTCCGTTCTACAAAAACAGCGGTATGTCTTTCTATTTCGTTATCCTGAAGGGCTGGTTGCACTTTGTGTACTTCCGCCAAAAAGTCGGCGAGCAGCTCGCATTTGTCACTGGTGGTAATGTAACTCCGCCCCTCTTTTTCAAGAGCGGGGACTTGCTCGTAGACTTTTCGTAGGCTTCTCGACAGTTTCCACAAAGAATTGTCGCGGGGAGATAAGTTTCGCAATGTTTCCGCCCATGTAAATTCCTGTATGCGGAAATTTCGCTCTGGATGTCTCATGCAAGCTCTGCTGCCCTTATACGATCAGCAGATTGCCCGAATCGCTGCCAACGCTTCCTGATTCTATTTTTTGCCTTAATAAGGTCCATAATTTCCTCAGGAAGGTTGTCACGCCGTGGTCTGTTCGGGACTTTTTGGGCCAAAGCTTGCTGTGTCCGTTGTATATGCTTTGCAAGACCTTTTACTGCAAGCTCTAGAGCCTCGACAGTATCGATCCGGTTCGGAATACGGGACAGGTCTTGTAGTCTCTTTCGATATTCGCAAAAATCGAAATTTTCGTATGAATATCGAAAGTCGTTAGGTTGTATGCGCTTTAAATCCCTAATGTCGAGGTAAATGGGCAAATGGTCACTGCTGAGGGTGTCTATAACCACCATCTCCGTGAGATTGGCGAGTCCTTTGGCTATTCCGAAGTCAAGGAATGATGGGTTCATTCCACTGTTCGGATAATGCGTTGGAGATGAAGTGGGCATAACTAGTTGGCCATTGTCGCGAACGTAGCTGGCTAGAAAATTGCCAGCTGCGTTTTTCCGTCCAGGGTTATTAAATCGTGGATGGCGGGCATTGAAATCTCCCATAAGCAACACCCTATTGGTGTTTGAAAAAAATGGATCAACGTCAGTGGCCCGTAAGCGAGTAGAAGTAGAGTACCCACAGTAGATCAGAGCACCATCAGGAAGCTCTACGCCAACGTTCTCTATTACTGACTGCCTGCTTGGCAGTCTCCTGTATGGGATCGTTGCTCTGACCGCTATGGCCACTCCACCTCTTAGACCGGGCCTATCGGCAAGCTCGAGCCTCCCCAAAATAACATTTTCCTGCCAATTACTGTTGCATTCACCTGGCCTTTGATGTTGGCTCCGATCAGCAAGGCCACGTTATCTGGATAGGGAATGGCTTGAAACTGGCTCCACCACCTGCTGTAGACGATGTTCACAAAGAAGCCCAGCACGAAGCTGAGCGGTATCAAGTTGCCGTTTCTTGCACAGTAGTTAACCACTTTAACGAAGTGTCTGTGGGAGAAGATAAAATTAAGTGGTTTAGGCTATAGCTGAAGTAGCCAACCGGGAGATAGACTCACTCTTTAGTATACTGGTTCATAGCATAGAGGTAGCTGAGGTTCAAAGCATAGTAGAGGCCGAGGAAAAGGATAAGGTCGGCCCATACTATTTTGTAGATGCTGCCTCGCCACCTGAAATTGGTAACCTTATCAATATAAACAAAGTATAAAATTATTATCAAAATGAGTCTGGTCTCCTCAGGGCAGCTGTAGGCACAAAAGCCCTCCAAACCGTGGTAGACTTTTTAATATCTAGGGTGAATTTTTAGTTTGAGAGAGTCCATTATTTCCGTTGGTGTTGAACTTTCGAAAAATAGTTTCATATAAAAGTTGTTGACGCACAAAGTACGCACATTCTAAAAATATCTTATATGATACAGAGTGTCTCAGAAAAGCGAGGCAAAATCAAAGTGTATTTTTTTAAATAGAACTAACTACCCATTTTTTATTAGCTGATGGAATACAGCTTGAAACGCTGCATATGCACGGTAAATTGTTTGCTTCTTACTTGCGACCTTGGCAGACTATCGCTATTTTCGTAAAATTTGCCTTAAAAACATGGTATCTATAAATTCATTGTAGAAGTAAAAAAAGCAGTTAGATACAAAAAAATACGTCCTTCCAATCACCACAGATCCGTTAAGAATTCTGTTGAACCAAAATATCAATACATTGTACAGGGTGTCAAGAATGTGGACTTCAATCTGAAACTTTTTAACGCAATATAACTTTTGTTTTTTAAATAGAATTACCTGTATATTAATACGTCATTAGATAGACAATTTACAAAGTTACAAATTTGCATTAACACTTTAAGCTTCAATCAACCGTTTTCAAATTATAAATTATTTTATTTAAAAAGTTCAAAAAGTTGTTACATTTTGTAAGGTGGCTATGGAATTCATTAAATAAGTGTCAAAATTTGATGATACTTGACATAATCAATGAAGAAAAGTG